ATGTTGAGTTATTTGAACGATTAACTTTTCCCTCAATATTTCATAGACCTTTTTAGAGTAGCAGTATGTGCACACCAAATATCTCATTTTCCACTTCTCATATGGGTTATAAGTGATTTGTTATATATATTTTGCATTTTTTTCTGTTAGCTGTTAACAACGTAATATTTAACTTTAGTGGTTAAGTGTTAGAGTAGCATATTGCTAAACTTCGCCACTATAGTTACACTTTATATATATATATATATACACATGTATTGTATATATTATTTAATAAAGACGTTTATTATTATTATTATTATTATTTTCATTTACATGGATACGTCAATAAACAAAATTGTCGATATTGGTCTCCAGTGAACCCCCAACTGTTGCATGAGCACCCCTGCATACCCCGAAAGTGACAGTTTGGTGTGCAGTAGGCCCAACGATGATTATTGGCCCTTATTTTTTTGAGGATGATGGAGAAACAACTACTGTGACGCAATGGGCTCATTTCGGGAGAAGCTTAATTCCTGCATTCCGGCTCAAGGGCGCCATAGTTTTTAGAATGTAAAGTTTGTTGTTATTTTGACTGTACTACTCATTTAAAAAACATGCGTTCCTTCTGACGGACCCTGTATATTTTGCATTGACTACGATTTCACATACAAACTCAATCCAGTGAATAGAAGTAAAATATCATTTTTGGATTTAGTCAAAAATACCAACAGCTTCAATTTGAAATTCGAGATCGATTTTTTTTTTCGGAACATGAAAAACCAGTGGTTTTATGGGTTTATGAAACCTATGATAGTGTTGAGATAATCGTTATCCTGTCATTTTTAACCCAAAGCCATTTGTTTCCCCATAACAGTAATGAATCACTTCGACTAATCCTGCTGTTCCTAAACTATTCCTAAGTACAGCGAGCAAAATCATTAAACATCCATATGCGTAATTGCACTGGAAACTTTCAACATTAATCGTGCTACGCGTGGAAGTTACCCGAAACAACACACCGTAAAATCTTCCGTGATGTAACTTGAAAGTTGAAAGTGAGACAAGCCAACTTTCCGACCGGTGCCGGTGTCGTTGTGTGGAAGCTGTTATTCGCAGTTTGTTGTCTTTTCCTCCGTGCATATCTTCCACGTCCAACTTGACGTTTCCATTAAAACCCTTGGGTGCCTGAGTTGGATGGATTTTTATAGGTTGTTTCGTTATTCCAGCATCTTTTATTCAGCATACAAACACTTTTAATACAAGGATACTAAAAGTTATAGCTTCCACGTCCAACTTAACGTTCCCATTAGAACTCTTTGGTGCCTAACTTGGTTGGATTTTTATAGGTAATTTCGTTATTCGAGTATTAAATTCATGCGAAGAAGTATATTTTAATAACAGGCGCAAAGAGTTGTAGTTTATGCATATTTTCCACGTCCAAGTGAAGGTTTCCATTAAAACTTTTGTATGCTAAGTTGGATGGATTATTATAGGTGGTTCGTTATTCGATCATTAAATTCATGGAAACAAGAATATTTTATATCCAATATACACAGAGACTTTTGATACAATCCGTTATAAAAAGTTGCTTTGTTGTATTTTCTTCGCGCATATTTTCTTCTAGCCTGACGTTTTCATTAAAACTTTCGGGTGCCCAAGTTGGATAGATTTTTATAGGCTGATTGTTATACGAGTATTATATTTTTTAACATTTTATTCAACATAAACTTTTAGTGAAATAATACATACTAAAATGTGCAGTGTTTTTCTCCGTACATATTTTCCAGGTTCAGCCAGACGTTTTTGGTTTTGTTTAGGTTACTATAGATGTGAATTCTGACGAGTTTTGACTAATTCGTCCAAATAAGCGAAAACCTGTTTTCCAATTAGTATACTTAGACTGGTAGCAAACAGCACGTCAAAGTACGCATGACGTCAGAACCATTTGAGCGTTCAGATTTGATTTTTTCGTGGGTCTTTGTTTGCGTTATTTCACTATGGACAACGATACATTGTGTATCAGAACAGTTTGCTGTGGGACATGAGATATGAGAAATAAAAATTATCGACAATAACCTCTTTTGTCATCTCTACTAGAAATTAAAGGATTGACATGCTTCGTTTTTCCACCCTTTAACACCAGTAAGTTCATTGAAGGACTTTCAAGAAAATAAAATGCGTCAACTCTGTCCATGTTTTCAGCGCGGCGAAAACGTACTGACTAACAAAATGTCAGACCACGCGCACAGTGTGACCGCCTGCTTCTGACGAGGATTTCGGTCGTACTCGTTAGAACTGAATTCCATAGTAACTGTAGCCTAATTCCGCCAATTGGCGAGAAAGTATTGTTAATCACGAACAATTTAGAAAATGAGACGTTTGTTGTTTTTTGGATGTTGCATTACAAGGCAGCGGGACAATATACACGATGTTAATAAAGTACGTAGACAAACTTTAACCATCGAATCCTTGGTCAATTTGAAGACGAAATTTCCATACGAACATGGGTCCGCAACGGTTTTGTCTTCAAGCTAGAGCATATTAGCACTAAAAGAAATGATGACATTGTTCTAAAAAATTATAAAACAATGGAACGTATTTTATTTTAATCAAGTATGCCCTGTGGTTAATATTACATGATTTACAGTTGTTCATGTACGTAGATACGGATAATCTTATCCAGTATTTTTTTTTAAAAATAGTATGACATTGATTTGTTTTGATCGCAATACTTTTAATATTAGTCATGTCTGGCTATATAAAATACTTCGGATATTTTTAGAGTTCGTCAGTCAATGTGTGACAGACTAGACGCCTGTATTGGAGTCGAATGTGGCCGCTTTGAACATTTATTGTAAAAAAAAACTATTTGATATTTTCTATTGTTGTAGATCTATTCGAATGTTTCTGTTCAAAACTATTGACCATTTTCCCCCAAAAATACAGGATAATACTATTTTCATCCACGTTCATATTGAGCCTCAGCAACTTGTTAAACATGCAAAATTTAACATAGGTTATACCAGCTGTTCAATAAATACGTTTCATTATTCATGGAAATATTTGGAACATTGCTCGTATTTCTTTAGTGCTCTAGCTCGAAAAGAAAACCGTTACGGACCCATATTCATATGAACATTTAATCCTCAAATTGACCAAGGATTCGATGGTTATAGTTTGTCTACATACTTTATTAACATCCTGTATATCCAAAGTTCTCAAAGTACGTCATAGAGAACAAATCACCCATATACTGTGTCCAAAAGAATTCACTACGTTACCGAAGGTACTGCAGAACATTACAACGCCAAAGAGTTTCAGGTATCATTTATAAAAGCTTTTAGTTAACAAACGTAAAATAATCTGTATTATTTATTTATATTTTATTTATACTAGTTTTTATGTTTTGAGAGTGTACTTTGGTTTTGTTTTTAATGTGTATCTATATTTCATTTATTTCATCTCTCTGTCCTTGTGTATGTATTTTACTTGCTTTTAATGTGTTGACAAATCACGTTTCCTATACAAATACTGTTTTTCTGATGGATAATAAATACATCGTATTATATATACATCACGAAAAACCATATCACTGTCGATCTGCCTGTCTGCCGGTCTATTTGTCCTCTAATCCTTGCCGTCGCTATAACTTGGAAAGCACAAATGTTCATGAAATTTCGACAAGATTGCTACTATATCAAGGACGTTGTGTAATAATATTAAATTCGCTCAAACTTCCTTTTTTTGTTGACGTTCGGAGACTCCCGCTCATTTTTGTATATTTTTTTTTTTTAGATGTATAAAATTGAGTGTGAGGGGGATGCAGAGGATGAAGAGGATATATCTCAATTTTTTTAACGTTCTTTAACTTCTAAATCCGGTAATTACATGCACCTGTTAGACATACATATTGAACTCGTCGATTTGTATTTGCCCTTAAGACTTAGAATGATACAGGGTCCGTCAGAAGGAACGCATGTTTTTCGAATGGGTACTACATCGAGTGGGCAGGTCCCATGTCTGTGGAGAAGAGGGTGCTGGATAGTGGGGGAAGTGCCGTTTCAGTTGGCAAGATGGTTTGGAACGTTGAGCATCGTGTGTTCACTGTACGTCGTCACGAAACCGTACTGACATGCTGCAAAGCCCGAATCGTTCGGTCCGTTTGCGTGCCAGTTCCCTAGGGATCCACGCGTCCTCTGTAAGTCGCATCTTGAAGAAGGATTTAGTTTTCCATCCTTACAAAATCCAAGTTTGTCAACAACACTGTTGCCAGGGGATTAGGCACAACGTGTTAATTTTGTACAGCTCATAATTGAGCAGTTGGGTAACAATGACATGACGTTGTTTATGAGTGATGAAGCACATTTTCATACGTCAATAAACAAAATTGTCGATATTGCTCTCCAGTGAATCCCCAACAGTTGCATGAGCACCCCCTGCACACCCCGAAAGTTACAGTTTGGTGTGCAGTAGGCTCAACGACGATTATTGGCCCTTATTTTTTTGAGGATGATGGAGAAACAACCACTGTGAATACAGAGCGTTACATCCACATGCTGAACAACTTTCTTTCCGGAACTTCGACGTTGACGTGTCCGTCTCACAACAGTGTGGTTCAAACAAGACGGGGCAACATTTCACACAGCTCGCACTTCGATGGAACATCTTCTGCAAACAGTCCCAGGACGTCTCATTTCACGTCATGGCGATATTCCATGGCCCCCTCGTTCCCCGGACCTGTCACCGTGTGCTTTTTTTACGGGGCTACCCGAAATCAAAAGTTTACCAAAGCAAGCCTCGGACCCTCGTCGATTTGAAGGAGGGGATAAGAAGATAAGTAACCAGCATTCCTGCACGGATGCTGGCCGACGCGATGGGCTCATTTCGGGAGAGGCTTGATTCCTGCATTTCGACTCAAGGGCGCCATATGGCCGACATAATTTTTAGAACGTAAATTTTGTTTTACTCAAAAAAAATGACATGTATTTCTGAGTATTTTGATATAATTAAATATTTTTCCCATACTTATTTTGACTGTACTACTCATTTAAAAAACATGCGTTCTTTCTGACGGACCCTGTAGAAATATTTTCGGGTTGCACAAGAGGCTTATCAATTTCCTCACCTAATAAGTCAATGTCTTCAACAGGAGCCTTCATGATCTGCTTTTTCATTTCATTGTGCAGGTCGATCTTATGCTTAGCACCTGAGACATCATCTGCGAAATCGTTCCTGGCAAGGTCCTCCTACAACACAAAAATACATTAGGTTATATTTGAAATGCATTTTACTTGAGCTAATAAGCTTCACCTAGATGGTGCACATTTTTTTGATCTCGACTGCTCATATTAAGAAAAAATGATTAAGACATTTCATGCATGACTTCAAAATCACATTCTAATGAAAGCTGTGAGTACCAAAAATTAAAATTTAGCAAGTAGGATTAAATAGGATATATCCATGTTTTGAAATTAAAACTGGTAAAATTGGACACCATCGTGTTGATTCCACTAACGAAGTTAAACTAGATTCATTAATTTCAACGTTTGCAAACGCATATCTATAAACACATGAATGTCGCTCGGGATGCATTCAATGATAAATTAATTTGCACACATGCTATTGTTAATGCCAGTTAAATTATTTTGAACTTTGCATAAAGCTGCAACGTTTTATTATATACAAAATCGAAATGCATATCAGTGTAGCATAAAAATGGGCTTCACAAAATGATATAATCTAGCTGGAAATAGAGACATCAGATTTCTTACGAATAGGTATACATTATCAAAATTATAAGCATACGGATTTTCTCATTTGATTATTGTAGAGTAACTTTTGAAACTTATGAAACAAATAATCTGACCTTAAATGATGAAATCACGAGTTTAGCTATGTTCTTTCTCCATAAAATTGTTTCACATTTATTGATATTCATAAATGGTGTGTGTATCCTTCAGGATTTTATTTTCGAATAAAACCAAGCATTTTGTATAAATAACATGCTTGTTTATTGTATTAGACTGTAGAAGCCTGGGAGTCATGTTTTATAAATATTAAATCTCCAAATGCCCTCGGCTGTTCCTGCAGATTGGTCGACTATTTTTTTTGTGTAGTCTGTGCATGATCTAGCCAGAAATCACGCGGCAATCAGGAAAACATATCTGATGATGAATTAGAGACTAACTTAGATATACAACTTATTAATAGAAATTTTTTAGAATTATGAAACATTCATATTGGATCAAATATTTGATATTTACGTAAATGTTAGACAGAAGTACTGATTATTAGGGCTTAACACATACCTGTAGGTCGTCTAACCTATCCAGAAGATCGGCAGCTTGCCAGGCGAATTCCTCCACAGCCAATCTAGTTTCTAACCAGCTAGAGTGATCATAAGGTAAGGTTCCATCTAGGTCGGAGGTTAGTTGGGTACTATCTATTATTTTTGGCAAGGCTTCTATACTTATCATATTTGTCTGAAAAAATAAATTCCATTATATTATCAACTATAACTTCTCCGTAGCTTTATCTGTATAAGCTACTATTAATTCAACAAAATATAATGTGTTTATAGTGGTCGTGGAACCTCAAAATGCGGAAACGGTAAATTCATCTAATGGATATAAAATCTGTAGCTTCATAGGAGGATATTGCAGTTTCCCGATATGCTCGATGTTAGGCCTGAAAAGATTCATTTTCTTACCCCGAATAGCACTTTGCGATAATCTAGCATTTTTGATGGCCATATTTATAATTAGCATTCCAAATTATTACAGTACATTGTGTTGTAACAACTGATAATGAAAATGTAAACATTTCAATCCTGATCAACACCAGCCTCTTGGGTAAATAGGGCGCTTGAAGAACGAATTTGATGTCAGTTTTTCGCTAAGATTGACACGGGACCTCAAAAGTCACATTTTGACAACCTAGATAGCAACATTTTAGCAGTCCTGTGGCTATATTCGACTTCAGCGTTCCAAATTAGTTCAGTGTACCATTTTAATTCGCTTGTAATGTCAGTTAAAAAAAATAAATTTTGTTTCAAGAAAAGTTTGAAGAAGTTATGTAGAGGAAAAATTGTTGCGTATCCGCAAAACTTGTTTCTTGGACAAATTAGGTGCATATATCTCGAATCTGATGTCTTTCACTGAGTTTGACAATAGTCCCGAAAGGGTCCGTTTTCCTTCTCCAAATAGAGCTTCGCGACACTTTAGCATTTTTTGATTGGCAAATTCGTAATCAGCGTCTCAAATTACCTCAATATATCGAGCTTCATTAGCTGATAATAAAGTAAAATTTGCCTTGAGGAACTTTAAAATTTGAACGTATGGAAGGCTCTAAAGGTTCCATTCTCCTACATGAAATAGGAATCTTGATTATTTTGAATCCTCATAATTAAAATCAGCGTCCCAAATTACCTGAGTACTTCGTTCGATAGTAAAAACAGCTGTCGAAAATGGATATTCTGCTTCAAGGACCTTTAAAGTCATTCTAAAGAAAATCTGCTAAAGTTATAGCGTATATACTGCATGTGCTTTAATTGTATACAATTTTTGGCACATCTAGGATCAGTCCCCGAGACAAAACAAAAACCGTAGTGATGATTGCTAACAAGCATGAAACGACGTCGTAAATTCAGCGTGAATAAATTGTCATTTGGTCAATTTACCTCGAATTTGTACTTGTGTGATCCGAGCGAGGTCCTCTGTTTCTGCCAGAAATTTTCGGGTTTGACGATAAGCGCTTGGTGAATGGCCCCGGCCGGAAAGTGTTCGTGCAGCGCCTTCAGAATGGGCTTCACCGTTGACCACGTCGAGCCGCGCATGTCCACTACCACTGTGAAGCCCAACGAACGAGCCTCATCGCTGAAACAAAAGCATACATTAGGAAAGCTGTAACTGTAAGTTAATAGTTACTTGGATAAAGAAATACTTGATTTCAAAGCAAAAATTTTTTAATAATATCAAAAATCACATATGATTTAGTATACTATCCATTTCTAGAGTCAGTTTCAGCTAAACGTCTACAAAAAAATTCAGAATTCATGTTGTAGATTAATTTTTCCTAATTTAAGAAACTCATATTAGTTCATGTTTCGAAAAGCTGAGTTGGTTGAATGATGCAAGTTGTACGAATTTCATTTATTATGTTATGTTCATAAACTCCTACGTACTTTCATACAGTTCCTTCATATTTGAAAAATAGATATCTCGTGAGCATATCCACTCACGCAATATTCAATTCACTGACACTATAACTATGCCTCTTCACAAAACTTCATTATTTCATAAAAGCTTTATCTTATAATGTTGATTTTAATTATTTCAAAAAGCATATTAAACATACAGTAATGGACAAAAGTATATATACAAATTAATATTGTGCTGTATTTCTTTTTTAACTTGTTTTATTAATAGGTGAACCTGTATGCATAATTCGTTATAGCCTAAATATATAGACAAAGCAAAACAATTATAGAAAAAAGAAGCAAAGTTCAGTGAATTATAGAAAACCAACCATGTTTGTGTTAATACTTTGTAGATTAACCATTATCATCAACCGCCTGGCATCGTCTCGGCATAGATTGTAGAAGTTTCTTGATATAAGGTTCATCAATCTGTGTCCACTTTTGCTCTAAAGCGGCAAACAGTTCATCCTTGTTTGAATAATTTTTATCTCGTATTTGCTTATCTAAGTATTCCCATAGTTTTTTAATGGGGTTTGAAGTGTGCTTTGGGTCATTATCTTGATGGACGATTGATCTTAAGGGCATATTGTCTTCCATATAGCGCAACATGACATGCTTTCGTATGTCTGTGTTTACAAACTTATCCATAATGCCATCTATTCTATGTAAAGGTCCCATCCCAAACCCGAAAAGCACGCTCAGACCATAACAGACCCGCCTCCATGTTTGACAGTGGGCAAAGTGTACTTGGGGTTCAATCTTTGTCCACTAGGACGTCTAACGTAATGAACACCATCTGATCCAAACATATTGAACTTGGATTCGTCACTGAAATATACCCTCTTCCAGTCACAGATGCTCCAAACAAGTCCTTACGGTTTTTCCTCGAGATTAGCGGCTTCTTACTCGGGAGACGTGGAAATAACAAATCATTTAATCTTCTACTTATAGTTTTCGTATTCTGGACCACGCGGCATGGTCTTAAAATCACGCAACTTATTCCACAATACTTGATGAACACAAACTAATGCTCTTCTGACAGGAAACTGTACTAAACTAATGTTGAAAAGAATTTGTCTACATATTTTTGTCCCTCATAAAAAAGTGCTTATATTCAGAATTGTATTGTGTTCACTGCAGATAATGTAAAAACAAGGAATTTAGTTTTTCTACTAATAACGCATTTGTTTATGGAGCAATGAAATATGAATTCGTTTTCTAAAGGTATTTAGGTAAATATTCATATTTATCTATATACTTTTGTCCATTACTGTATCTTTTATGCTCAAATCTGAATTATCATCTACATTTTCTCATATATCTACATACATATTATATAAATCTTTATAGTTTTTTTTGTACACAGATGTGTATTTAATTTGTAATTTTCGTTAAAATTATTTTCAATATTTTAGTGCTAGTTGTTCAAGGGTTAAGTAAGTGGTGTAGCTAAACTTCGCCATAAATAAAAGTCGTTTATTATTATTATTATTTACAGCTAACATAAAATGGATTATAAATGCTCTAAGACTCCAGAGTTGCTAGATTGTGAAAAAATATAGACCCTATAGAGGGTGACACAACTACAAAACACATCGAACTTCGGGCTGCATGGAGGGATAGCATTAAATCGAGCTGCCAAGGGAAGGATCTCGAGCCACATCAAATTAGGCTCCACCTCGATTATTGCTTTTTTTCACCAGCATATTCGCACGCCCAAGAGTACCAAGTGTCACTTACTGTTAACAACAGCAGACAAAAATGGAATTGTTGCAATATAACAAGGTTCTCTATGGAAAAAATCAAAAGCGTATCTGTGAGTTACGTGACAGATCGCCTCTTGGGCAAATGGGGTGAGCAGATTCCCAATATGATGTCGTGTTGTCAAAGGGCTCCAAGCGACCCATTTTTTAAACTGTATATTTTTGGATGCATTCTTGCATTTAGAGTAAATCCAGATTTCACAAATATTTCAATGCTGTAAATATTTGACACTTTTCAAAATTAAACAAAAACAAAAAATTAATTTGTTGAAGTGGATGTATAGTGTGCCTATACTACCTTTTAACAGCATGCCTCCAAAATATCATACACAACACTTTTTTTTCAATTTCCATTCGCCTTTGCATGTGCAATTTACATTTCGTGTTTCATGTCAGAAACAGCAATTCATTTAAAATTTGTCTTTTTACTCATATTTCTCCGTTTCATTATGACCAACATGGTCGACCCATTGTGCAACACACACAAAGTGGAGAGCTTAATATGTAAGAGCAGCAGAAGAAATAACATCAGAAACAACCTAACAACGGTAAAAGCATGCGCTCTTTATTGAGCTGGCGATGACGGCAGCTTTACGACTACTTTTACGGCAACCACTTATCCTGACCTTCAATATGCATCAACTTCTTTATTCTGTTCTAATTTCTGAGCTATAAAGTGAGCGTTCTTTTATAACTGAGACTTTTGCTTTCTACGCATCACCAGACATATATGTACATGGTGTTTCAAAAATCTATATATAAAGGGTGGGCCATCAGTTGGTTTCTTTAAGTTGGTATTATTTTGATAGTTGGTGATACTTCCATGCTCAGCCAATGGCGGGGGGGAGCGCGGGGGGCGCCCTCCCCTAGACGTCAGATACTTGCTTTTGTAATCTAACACCATTGTTTTACTTTCTGACACATTATGGCGACAGAGGCATACTAACCTACACTTTTTTTCGGTTAATACTGCAATGAATTTTTTTTATGTTTTAATCTTTAATATTACCAGCCCCAACTATCGCTTGCACCCTCTCCTAGACGAAATACTAGATCCGCCCTTGTGCTCAACATATTGACTGATATATTGTGTCAAACTTCCGCTGTGAGCACTGGATTGTTTTAATCTTGAACAAGGGTGGGAAATATTGCAAAATTATTTTCAAAGTGTGTGTTGCAGAAGCTTTGCGAAAATTGAGAAGACTATTTGGTCGGAATGAAGCTCCGTCCGCGACTGGTATACGAAAATTCGTGAAACTGGCCTGCTTGTGGATAACAGAAGGTATGAGCATATTCGACCTGTACGTTACAGCCGAAAACATTGCTTCTGTTGCCCAGAGTGTGCGTGAAAATGCAAGAATGTCGACACGGCACAGCACAACAAGTGGGCATCAGTCGCACTTCTGTGCGGAGAATATTGCATAATGACCTCGGATTATTTCCTTACAAGGTGCAACTTGTGCAAGAGTTAAAACAAAATGACCATCCGCTTCGATATCGTTTCTCTGTGTGGGCTTTAAATCAATTGGAAACGGACCTCAATTTTTGTCGCCAAATCATCTTTTCGGACGAAGCCCATTTCCATCTGGGAGGTTACGTTAATAAGCAGAACTGTAGGAATTGGGGTTCTGAAAATCCACATGTCGTCATAGAAAAACCAATGCATCCGAAAAGAGTAACTGTTTGGTGTGGCTTTAGGAGTGGTGGGATTGTTGGTCCCTACAAGATGAAGATGGTAACTGCGTGACGGTAAACGGGGAACGCTATAGAGACGTGTTAAGGAGTTTTTTGTGGCCACTATTAGACGACATGCACTTGCACAATCTCTGGTTCCAGCAAGATGATGCAACATGCCACATCAGCCGTGAAACAATCGGTCTTGCACTAAGTTTGACACCCATGGATTACTTCCTATGTGGTACTTTTAAGAACCGCTGTTACACTAACGATCCTCAAGTACATATTTGATGTTCTTAAGGAAGCTATTGATGAAATAGGCCCACAAACTATCGGAAATGTGCCTCAAAATTGGGTTAAGAGGATGGACTACTGCCAGGCCAGCCGCGGCAGCCATTTATCTGAAATTGTTTTTCATAAATAATCGGAAGGTGTATTCTTTTGAATAAAGTATCGAGTGTTACATATTATTGAAGAGGAAGTTTTAATGCCAATTTAAAAAAGAAACCAACGGATGGCCAACCCTTTAGAAAAGAAGCAGTTACACGGTGGTAAATTTGCAGTTTTTGCTAGACAAAAGTCACTTTTCCGGAAATCCTTCGACACTGCCGAAATCCGTGTATCAATCCAGTCAACCCTTCAAACCATCAAGATCAAAATGTTTTAGAAGTTTTGTACCTATCTTTGGAGCACAACAAACCGCTAAACCTGGCGCACTTTGAGTCTCGGGCACACGTTTCATATGAAGTTTACGAAATTCTTTTTTGATTGCAGCTATATATCTCCTTCTTTCTAGCACTTCGCAAAAGCCTTCATTTTCATGTGACACGTGACATCTCACAACCACGGTGGATCACAGTGCTCTGATTAGGCTCAAATATGAAATGCATACAGTACATTTCAAAAAACCCTCCTATACTTACTGTCTGAACGGGTCAACTTATAAAGTTGAAATTTGAGGGTGTGAAACTGATTTTTAGCGTGCAAGTGACGCTTTTTGGAATATTTTTTAAATGATGTGGGGTTCGGGTGATACCTTATTTTGAAGCTCCTTATCAGTACTTCATATCCCTAGAATATAAAATAACTGTTTTCCGAAATGAAAAAGCTATCAAAGTTTTTGTACATTGAGTCGTTTTTAACTCAACAACCAACCAACAAAACGCTCGACGTAGTGTAATATATCAATATACTTCTTTTGGAAGGCCCTATCCGAATATGGAAATCTGCAACATTCTATTGAAAATTGTCAAAATCTGACAAATTTCTTTAAGCGGAATGTCTCATATTTTATTATAGATTTAGATAGGCCCTTCCAAAAGAGGAATATTAATACAACACACTATAATGTTTTTATGTTTTTATCTCCAATGTACAAAAACGCTCAACTTTGACCGCCTGACAGTCCGCCATTTTGAAGATATCAATGTTACACTTCAAGCTTATAAAGTTATATAAGGAGCTTCAAAATGAGGTATTACATGACCCCTCATTCCATTAAAAAAAATGTTATAAGAAGATTCCCAGCCACTACCTGGAATTTTCAACAGTTATTTTCACGGTAAAAAAATAATTTTCATTCGTCAATTTCATCATCCTGAATTTCAGCTGCCAAACTAGACTCCCCTATAGATAGGGCCTTTCTAAAAAGCACTGTGTATGAAGGTGCGTCTAGCTGCTTTTGCTGAAACCAGAGCGAATTTATACCACTAGGGGGTCACACCAGCCATATTTTTTCTTGCCCGAACAACAAGTAGGCTATAACCATCCAGCAGGAGATGATACCACCAAATTCTAGTAAGACCTAGACACAAAAACAGGCGAGAATTAGCGCAAAGAAAATTCTCCGCAAGTTGCCTTAAGTCACAGGTTCAGCTCAGCTGAGTTAACTTTGCTTAGAACATCACTGAGATTGTGCCTCGGTCCTTTCTCAAAAGATGTCGTAAAGACCTTCATAAGGTTAAGTCACGTTACTAATTTTGATTAGTGAATGTGTTTGAAATTATTTTCAACTTTTGTATATTAATCGCGGTTTTGTGAACAATATTGGGGCATTTCAGGATATGATCTGCCTTGAGAAAAGTTCATATCCCCGCTCTTCAAAATTCTCGGAGGTTGATGCATTTTCACAAAAAGTTGCTCTTAGCGATGATCGCAACTGTCTCGGAGAAATTCATACGGGCGTCCATCTGCTCAAACATTCCTTATTTCTCAATAGTTGTAAGATATTTCTAAATTCAGAGTTCAGTTGACATAATGAAATTGGTAGGATATAATTCTAAACGTTATTCACTATTTACCTAGGTGCTTTTTTATTATCACTGTTTACCTAGGGATAGAAGCTATTTTCAATCGACCATTGGGGTCAATAATGGTGACTTCATAAGTTAGTAATAAAAAATAAACAAACCATAACCTCGGCAAAAACAAGGTGTACTCCCATTTTATTCAGGTTGGGTTCAAGCTGTGAGTGATTTAGCCGTGATTAGAGTAACAAATTAAGACCTGGTTCGCGATGTTCCAATTAAGACGAAACTAATAAGTAACTGAAGCAATTGAGACTAGTCGTGAAACCGTAACTGGTAACGAGGTACGTTACTGTAAATTATCATTGATTTATCTTAGGAGAGTATTTTCACAACATATATTTCACTTTAGGTTATTATTACGTTCTATTTCTACCTTATCTATTTGTGAATACTGTCGGTCCAAAGAAAACTCATCAATGAACTTAATTCTATATAGCTCATTAGTAAGATTAGTTTATTAGAACGTTTAATCGAAAATTCTGCAAGGTCTCAACTCCACTGTAGTTCTTTATGTAGTTTTTCGGAAATGGTGGATAACGTTGAGTTGTATTGATTTGGAATATCTGTAGAAACACTAGAAGTATCTGTTCAAGTACTTGACGAAGTACTTGAGGTACCACGAAATTACTTCGAAGAGCTTTGTCAGTAGGTCTCTCAGGTCTCGTTGCCCAGATACCTAACAAAGTCAGGGAGAAAGAACGGAAGAAGAAAGGAAGGAAGCAGGGAGAGCAAAGAAAAAAGAAGTGCGTCAATTTGAGGGGTGCCATGGAATTGCTAATTAGTATTTGGCAATTTTAAATTGATCCTAAAACTAATTTTGGGATTGGTTTTTGAAGAAAAATTATAATTTTGTTTGGACCTAAAGTCGCACGATTTAATTTCGTTCACAGTGCGAGTCGCGGCCTTGTGTGCTTGCGAACTTGCTCGACTGTATCGTCTACTGACTCGCGCAACAAAGGGTTGTTATGCAATTACGCTTGACTATAACGTAGTTGCGCTTGTTGTTTGATGTAGTCCCTTAGGTAATGGATGTCAAGGTCTCTGTGAAGGGTCTCGTTGGAAACATATCATGGGGCGTTAGTGATTGTACGCAAGGTTCTGTTCCGCAAAACCTGCAGGCTACGCAAATGCGTTTTGGCGAGAAAACACCAAGCCGCGCTTGCGTAAGTGATCGCTGGTCTAATAACCATCTTGTATAGCCGAACTTTGTTGATCAAACTTAATTTTGATGTTCTACATAGCATAGGGTAGAGTTGCCGAAACGAGATTTGGAGTTTAGTTTTTAACGCTTCTGTGAGCTTCTGCCAGGTCATCCCTTTGTCAAGAGTGACACCCAGATACTTAGCAGAGCTTTCCCGTGGTACCCGAGCTCCATTCACTGAAACCTCAGACATGGCGCCGCTCCGTTTTTTAGTACAATAGATTGCCTGCGTGTTCGAATGATTCATTTTGATCAGCCACCGATTCACCCATTCCAATATCTCGTCTACTGCACTTTGCAGCATGTCGTGAACTAGATCCCCAGAACACGACTGGACCACCAGGGCAGTGTCACCAGCATAGAGATAGATTTCACAGTTGCTGGGGCAAGGGACGTCTTGAATTATAAAGTGAATAAAGGACTGGCCCAAGAACCGAACCCTGGGGGACACCGGCATTGATGGGCCGTGTTGTGGACAGAGGAAGGATTTGAAAAGTTTTAGGAGCCAGAAGGGGAAGCGCTTATGGATCAATTTGTAGAGAAGGACCTTTTCAAATGCCTTTGAGACATCCAGAAACAAGATGCCAGTACTTTCGTTACGGGTGAACCCCCTGGTTACTCATCAACAAGCCTTATGGCCTGTAGCTCCGTACTACGCTCAGACCAAAAGCCCAATTGCACGTCAGGAATCACATTGTAGTGTGACGAGAAATTTTCAAGGTGACGTAGAATCGCCTTTTCAGCGAGCTTAGAAGGAGCTGACAGTAGACTAATGGGGCGGTAATCCTAGGGGAATATCAAACCCTTCTTCTTTGGAATCATTATGACATCAGCGGTCTTCCACGCCGTTGGGAAGTGCTGGGTCCTTAGCATCGCATTGATTATTGCCACGGGATACGTTAAGGACTTCCGCGAAAGTAGCTTCAGAGCCGTATTAGTGATTCGATCCTCTCCGGGTGCTTTACGCACCTTGAGCTCTTTAATATAATTTTAAATTGAAGCTCTGCTGGTGTGCAATGTGGAGTCTCAGAAGATTCCGCTGATGTGCCATGCAGCTCTTCAGTTGAGGAATCATCTGAAGATTCCTCTGAGGAAAAATCACTAAGGGAGGCACTACGGCCACTGACGCAGTTGGCCCTAAAATATCTCCTGACGGATCTTATAATATGTTGCTCCTTGTCGAGGTCATTATCAAAGTCATAGAGAGAACTGACTTTCCATTGCATCAGCGAAAACCTCGACCATTTCCTCTGTCGTACAGACTATGCCCCTAGGACCTTGGATGTGCGGGAGGGTGTTCTCGCTTTCCGTTTCTGAGCGTCTTTGCAGCTTTCCAGAGAGAAATACTTGAGTCAAGCATCTCCGACAGAAAGTGGCTCCATTGCTCATTACGGAATTCAGGAAGAGCGTTTCTCACTTTATGAACAAGATTTGTTGCTCTGTGAATGTCATCTGGTTGACAAGACCTCTTCGCTTGCTTAATTGCAGCTCTTTTGTCAGAAATTTTCTGGAAAATGTCTGCAGGGAGAGGTGATTAGTTATAGTGACGACAAAACTGATTTTTTGTAAGAAGCATAAGGCTAAGTGCAGATGACGCGCGTTGGCCTGACGCTTTGAAAATACACAGAATTAATACAAGCTGTTCACATCTGTATGACGCGACTTGCTACGTATTAATGAAAATTCAGAAATCTACAACTATGATACAAGACAGGCGGGAGCCCTGAGACCACAACGTTATATGCTAGATATATCCGCGAGAAATTCATTAAATCAGATTTTTTACAATAAACTGCATCAGAACATCCGCGAACTGAATTATAAGCAATTCAAAAAACGAATGGAGTGCATCCGCCTGAATCAGTGTTGGGGAATTTTTAAATTACAATTTTTAGCTTTTGTGATTCATGCCTCATGTGCTGTCTTTTTTTTATTGTAAATGTTTGGC